GAAGGGGAAAAAATACTGTCCTTCACAAAATAATACGGCTTAACGAAGGGACTATCGACGCGATGCGATTCCTTCTTGGACGTGGCGCAGATGTGAACGCTCGACGGGAAGATTTTTGGACACCGCTTCACCTGGCAGTAGACATTGGAGAGCTCGAGGTAGCGCGGATACTACTTGAGCACCATGCCGACGTCGATTCTCAGAGCGATGATGGCCTGGCTCCATTGCACCTGTTGTCGGGACAGGAAATGTCCCCGCGCGAAGAAAATGGACCCGCTCTCGCGACGTTATTACTGGAGAACGGCGCGAACGTGAACATGCGAGCCAAGGACAACGCAACCCCACTGCATTTGGCATCCTACAATAAGAAGCTCGAGATCGTACGGGTGCTGCTCGACCATGGCGCAAACGCCGATGCGGAGAACGACGAGGGAAGGAGGCCATCGCAGGAAGTTTTCAGAGTCATCAATAGCTCCCTAGAAGATGATGTCGCTGTTGCACAGCTATTGCTGGAGCGCGGCGCGGAAGCATATGCACGAGACAAGTATCACGTGACCGCGTCAGAGTTGGCCTTCTGCTTTGGGGAGCAGAAGATCTGGCAGGTTCTGCTCGGCAACCATGGCTCAACATTCGGTCCGGTGATCGACCGGGATCGAGCCGAATTTCACCTGTGGTTAAAAGGTGAATATTATCACTCCTATGGCAAGACCCCGGCGTCACACTTTTTTGTTCGCAGCGGACGGTAACGTACGAGACAAGTACGAGACAATCCTGTTGCATTCCGCATGCTACTATGGGAGGCTTGCGATGGCGCAAGTTCTGCTCAACGAAGACGTTAAAGTGAACGCGAAGAACCACTGGGGCGATACGGCATTGCACGTAATTTCACGAGGCAACCATGACTCGCAAGATGGTGTCAGTGTGGCACAGCTATTATTGGGGCGCGGAGGGGACGTGAACACGGAAAATAACGACCATAGGACCCCGTTAGATACTGCGTCTAGCTTTGGGAGGCTCGATATCGCACAGGTGCTTCTCGAACGCGGTGCAAAAACGAATGCGGTGGACAAATTACTCAGGACTCCATTACACCAGGTGTCGTGTGGCGAATATGATTCCCAGGAAAGTGGCGCCCGCATCGCAGAGCTATTACTGGATCATGGCGTGGATGTAGATGCATTAGACAAATACCACTGGACACCATTGCAACTCGCATCCTTCAACGGAAAGCCCGGGATTGCACAGGTCCTTCTCGACCGCGGTGCAAATACGAATACCAAGAACGACCGGGACGAGACCCCGTTGCACGTAATGTCACGAGGTAAATTTGACTCTCAAGATGGTGTCCGTGTCGCACAGCTACTACTTGATCGCGGTGCGGACGTGAACGCGCGACGGAAGGACCACTCCACCCCGTTACATGGGATATCCCACTCTGGGAGGCCCGATATCGCACGGGTTCTTCTCGAACACGGTGCGAATGCGAACGCGGAGGACAACTTCCTCAGGACTCCGCTGCACGCAGTGTCAGTAGGCGAGTACGAATCCCAAGAAGATGGTGCCCACATTGCACAACTTTTACTGGAGCGCAGCGTAGATGTGAACGCCCCAGACAGAAGTCGTGCAACACCACTCCATTTGGCTTCCGCCTGTGGGAAGCTCGAGATTGCCCGCGTGCTCCTTGATCATGCCATTGTGAAGAACGACCGAGGCCTAGAAGGTGAATATTCCCCCCTCCAAAGTAACCTTCGTGTTGCCAACATTTTTCACAGAGCGCGGCGTAGATGTAAACGCACGACGGAGGGACCAGTGGACTCCGTTGCATCTTGCTTCCTTCTCTGGTAGGCTAGAGATCGCAAGGGTGCTTCTCGATCACGGTGCGAAAGCAAATGCTGAGGACAACCTCCTCAAGACCCCATTACACCACGTGGCAGAAGGCCAATATGAATCCCAAGAAGATGGTATCCGTATTGCACGTCTATTACTGGAGCATGGCGCGGACGTAAATGCCCGCGATATCTACCATGGAACTCCTCTTCATTTGGCATCCTCCTGTGGAAAACTCGAGATCGCGCGGATGCTTCTTGAACGCGCCGCTGTGAAGAACGACCGGAGCCAGAACCCATCGCGCCTGGCCTCAGAAGGTAAATGTTGCACCCAAAAATAATCTTCGTGATATTGACACATTTTTCTAGAGCGCGGCGTAGATGTTAACGCGCACAGAAAGGATCACTGGACTCCGTTACACCTCGCCTCTCACTGTGGGAATCCCGAGGTCGCACGGGTGCTTCTCGACCATGGCGCGAATGCAAATGCGGAGGACAACAACCTCAGAACCCCATTGCACCATGTAGCGGGAGGACATTACGAATCCCAAGAAGTTGGTGTCCGCCTTTCACGCCTATTACTGGAGTGCGGCGTAGACGTAAATGCCCAAGACACTAGTCGTCAGACCCCACTCCATTTGGCATCCATTAATGGGAGGCTGGAGATCGTACGGGTGCTCCTTGAACACGCCACCGTAAAGAATGACCGGGGCCAGAATTCATCGCACCCGAGCCTAGAAAGTGAATCTTACCCCAAAAAATTTAATTTTGTTTTTAACGACATTTTTTCCCAGAGCACGGTGTGGAGGTGAACGCACGAAGGATGGACGACTGGACCCCGTTGCATCTAGCATCTTACCATGGAAGGCTCGAGATCGTACGGGTGCTTCTCGACCACGGTGCATCAGCGAACGCCGAGAATAACCAGGGCGAGACTCCACTATATCTAGTTTCCCGAGGCGTTTACGACTCCCAAGATGATGGCGTCTGTATCGCACAGCTATTGCTAGAGCGCGGCGGGGATGCGAATGCCCACCGCAAGGACAACTGGACTCCCTTACACGCCGCGTCTTATTTTGGACGGCCCGGGATCGTACGGATACTTCTCGACCACGGTGCAGAAGCAAACGCCGAGAACCGCCAGAGCAAGAACTCATTGGACCAAGTGTCACGAGGCGAATATGGATCCCAAGAAGATGGCGCCCGTGTTGCGCAGTTATTACTGGAGCGTGGCGTGGACGCGAACGCATCAGACAAGGATCACTGGACCCCGTTACATTCTGCGTCATACTATGGGAGGTTCGAGATCGTGCGGGTGCTTCTAGATCATGGTGCAAACGTGAATGCCGAGAACCACGAGGCCGAAACTCCACTGGAGTTGGTGTCACGAGGCAAGTACAACTCCGAAGGCGACGGTGTCCGTGTTGCACAGTTATTACTGGATCGCGGTGCGGATGTGAAGGCGCAACCGAAAGGACACTGGACACCCTTAAATTGGGCATCGTACTATGGGAGGCCCGATATCGTACGGCTGCTTGTCGACCATGGCGCAACAGTGAACTTGAACGCAGAGAAAAGCCTCCTCAGAACCCCGTTGCACGACGTGTCACGAGGCGAATACAAGTCCCAAGACGATGGCGCCCGCGTCGCGCAGATATTACTAGAGTGCGGTGCGGACGTAAACGCCCCAGACATAAATCGCGAGACCCCACTCAATTTTGCGTCCGCTTCTGGTAGGCTTGAGATCGCGCGAGTACTTCTCAGCCACGGTGCAATAGCGAAAACGGAGACTTACGACAGCGAGACTCCTTTGCACGCAATATCACGAGGCAAATACGACGCCCAAGATAGTACCCGCCTTGCACGGTTATTAATAGAGTATGGCGTGGATGCGAACGCACCAGACAAGGACCAGGATACTCCGTTGCATTATGCATGCCGCTTGGGGAAGCCCGATATTGCACGGGAACTTCTCGATCATGGTGCCATAGCGACTGCGGAGAATAGCCAACGCGAGACTCCGTTGCACGTAATATCTCAAGGCGAACACGAACCTCAAGACGGTGTCCGCCTTGCGCGGCTGCTACTGGAGCACGGGGCAGATGTGAATGCACAAGACACAGACGAGGACACTTCGTTACATTCTGCGTGCCTCAATGGGGAGCTCGATATCGCACGACTGCTTCTCGACCACGGTGCAGCAGCGAGCGCCGAGAATAACCTTGGCGAGTCCCCGTTGCACGTAATATCACGAGGCAAACCCTTCTTCGAAGATGGTGTACGCATTGCACGACTACTATTAGAGCATGGCGTAGATGTGAACATACAAGACAAGCTCCACCGAACTCCATTACATGCTGCATCCGTCCATGGGAGTATCGAGATCGCACAGGTGCTCCTCGACCACGGCGCAACAGCGAACGCGAAGGACGATTTTGATTGGACCCCATTACACCTCTTGTCGCAATACGGTGGTGACTCCGAAGAACGAGGCAGTGGTGTTTCACGGCTGCTACTGGAGCACGGCGCGGACATTCACGCGCGTGATGTGAACCATCTAACTCCTTTAGATTATTCATCGCGCCGTGGGTGGCACAAGATGGCACAGGTTCTTCTCGGACATGGTGCGATTTATTTCTTTAAACTACGTGTGCAAATGTTAACGCAATACCGATCCACAGAAACTAAGGGCAAGCTCGCCGCGTAGGGCCAATTTTTCAAAGAGGTAGTTTACACTGTCGATACGCGCCGAGGCGTCAGAAATAGTAGAATAACATGGAACTTCTTCCGATAAGCCATGAGCGTGGCATCGTCCCAATGGAGTGTTTCGCTCTTCACGCGGAATCGCGCAAAAGATTATAAGGGGGCAGAATAAGCAGAGATGAACATCGGTTTCTATATAACAGGAACAGCTACCAACAACCATCTTGCTGCAATGACTGGCCGAGGACGTGGCATATCTTGGTTACTTACCAGAGGCCCAGGGTCATACCAAGGGTCATATACCGGTCGTACTCGAGCGAGCGCTATGGTGGCAAAAGACCACCACTCGAGTCTAGTAGGAACAGAAAGCCATTGTAAACCATTTCGTTCTTGGTGGATTGATTTATCGTTGTAGAATATAAAAGTAACAAGTTTCCCTAGACATTTAGAACACGTAAGGAAAAAGATACTTGCATTGTCCGGGAATCGAACCCGGGGCGGGTCGAATGAGCAAGGTCATAAGACCGTTCTTATGGCAACGACCCAGGTTACCACTACCCCAACAATGCGTTGATGGCGCTACTTCAGGGGACACTCAGGTCAAGAACCTCGCTGAAGCGCCCGCTGCGCAAGCCTCCACTGGTTTTAAGGCCAGAAATGCTACTAAGTTACTTTGACAGTACAGTATTACTTAAGTAGCTAGGCCCACTTGGTGCGACAGCATCCACAAACGCTTCCGACTAACTATCAATACTAGTTGTAATGGACCACCCGAGGCGCCGCGCGTCCCTAACTGAAGATCTTACCATTTCTCTTACGCTTCAAACGTCTGCAGACGACCGGTATTTGTCTTAGATATACGACCCAGGATATGAATTGAAAAAATGACTACTAACTACAGTAACTACCCGTGGATCTGTCCTCGGCCAATCAACATATAATACAAGAAGCATCACGCCAAGGACTCTACGCTCCCATTAGTCAACACACTTGACTTTTAGTCCCATCCAAGGGTATTGAATGCCCTCCACCATAGGCACCATAAGGACAAGAGGTTTTCTAATGATGTGCTCTGCGGTTTGCGGGGGTAGGCTAAATTCGAAGTTTTCAAGTAGTGTCGCGGCGATGACTTGCATTTCGATGATGCTGAAAGACGAGATCAGTGGAGCAATGGAGATTGGTGGTAACAGGAAACGTACGCAAACCGCCAACCGAGACAACCACGCACTCCTCTCGCTGTGCAAACACTTAGCACGCCTGTGCATCCCTAAAACCTGGTGCCTGAACTCACATAAATTTGGGCTACTATATTAAAATGTCAGTAGTTTCAATGCGAGAATGGAAAGGCACTCTTACAGACTCGTATGCAATCATACAGAGATCTGTTCTTCTGGTCAATATCAACACTGTAGAACCGTTGGGAGTTCCACTGGTCTGCATCTTCGCTCCACACTTCCGGAAGCATAAGGCCCCTCAACCGTTACAGTAGCGGAGCTGGTGGAACGACAACCCACCGACCGTGTGAACAAAACGATAGGTCTACGCGTGCGCCCTTGCGTATAGGTATCACCGAGATCTGCTCACCCGACTTGGTCGTGATTGGGAAGGCGACCGGGATAAGACCATCCCTTGCAGCACTTCTCGAAAGCTGCCAGACAATGAGGTGAAGTGACTCCTGTAGATTTGGTTGAGCACTATCAAAAGCGGCTAGTGCCGACACAAAGGCGGCACGTCGAGCGCAGCAAGCATCGTTGACATGCCTTCTAGGTCGAATCTCTGGCTCCAATGTGAGCTCGCCGCACTGCCGCGATCTCCTCACGAACATCCCGTGCTGATTCTGGATGTTTAGCCAGCTCCCAGAAAAACCACGTCAGCGGATTCGCAGATGTATCGTGCCCTGCCAAAAAGAAGCGTTCTGCAAGGCGTCAGAACTGAAATCGATCACATCCTTCCTTAACTTACTTAATCTGATCAACGACCTCGCCATCGGAGGCTTGGTTTCCGGGTCTCTGGAATTGTTTGCATGCAGAATGACGCTTGCGATATCGCGGCCATCGCCCTTGACGATGCTTTTACGAACTATACCCCGAGCAACCTCACGAATGCCCCCCAGGTAGTTTCTAAAACGGCAATACTCGCGACGCGGAAGGTAAACACGGATTGATATCGCCAGCTGGCGATATCCAGCGCTTCAAAACCAGCTGACCCTGCCATTAGCGCGCTGGCAGCTTTGCCATGTGACTCATACCTTCCCCGATGATGTCCACTGGCATTGTCGACCTCGAGAGCCACTCCGATATATTAAGAATGAGTTCATGGTCCTTATCTGTGACGATTTCGTCTTTCCATAGCTGTGCGAGGAGCTAAACCCAAATATTAGACCGTGTGCATGCTGTAATTTGAAATTGACCCTATGTGGTACGGAAAACGCCGAGGCTCTCCTTTGACGCCGACGAGTTTCCCTTGCAAGCGTTCTTAACTTGCTAAGGAAATGGGCGCCATATGTGCCTTAACAAACAACAAACTCGCCTTTCGTGCAACAAACCCCATTTCCTGTCAATATTCGGTCGGATGGTGTGCGACGCATCAGAGGTCTTCGGTAAACTATAACCCGACGTATGCAGAATGTACTGGAGAGCTTTTGGGTCTGCAACCATGAGCCGATTCTCCTAGAGGAACTTCAATGATAAGATTAGAGACATCGACGTGGAGGACTTACGCAGTTACACCCATACATCCTCGAACGCGCCAAACCGAGCCATATTCACGGATCCACTTGAGCTCCAACTGGCCAGATTCCTTTTGGGGCACATATTCCGGCTGGTTGCTTGTGGTTCATTGGTGAAATCGCGATGCTAAAACCACAAACTTGGAAGTTGTACCCAACCAAAATTCTGGTCCACACAGATCGTGCAAGATCGATTTTCCTCGGAGCGCACGAGTGCGACCAGACTTTGTGTAATGATGAACTTTACCGAGATTCGGAGGCGGGCACAATATGTTATTTGGCGTGCGTGGGGTGCAGAACTGAAGCCTCAGAACATAATTTTGGCCCACGTCCGACACAAAGCACCTGGGTGCCCCGCAATTCACTTCAACCCTCGAATCGTGTCTGCAAATGCGAAGATTTGGAATGTGGGGTGGTAGAGCCCATGCAATCTGAGATACTGCGCCATTAGGATAGGTTGGTCGGGCTGTCTGGTGGCGTCGCTCGCCCCAGGGAACCAAGATCAGTGCAATGTGCGACGCCCTTTGACAAGGTTACACCAGTACCGCCCCGGAGTTCCCAGAAACGAGTGCAAAGTACAGCCATTACTACCCATGCGATTCCACGTGATCCACTATAGCAAGCAATCAAAGTGAGCAATAGTTTGTGAGCATCCATTCTCATCGCGATCGGAAATGCGAGCAGATAAGAGTTTGCGATATGCGATACACGGAAACACTTAATTTTCGAAGAAAGATAAGAGCAGAAAGGGAACTTTTGGGAACTGAGATGAACCAGCAAGTCAATGAGAGAGGAACGAGGGAGGAACACAAAAAGAATATGCGATCCGGACGCATAAATCGACTGAAGGACCCAAAGCCGTCGAGCGGAGACCACCAATTCTATAGACTCTTCCTCCAAAGGCACGTTGGGGGTCAGGAACACTTATGGAATGTAGGCTTAGCTGTGATACCTCATCTCTAAATGGTGTCCAAAGGCCAGATTCAACAGCGAGGCAAAAAAGCGAACAGAACTACCCAGAAAATGGCAAGAGCCAAGAAAAAAAGGAGTTCCCACACCCGGAGAGCATGCGCGGATGCGATAGCGGCGATACGTACCGGGGTGAATCAGTGACCGAAGTCTAGGGGAGCGGGAAGACCAAGAATGCCAGTGTGAGTGAGTCGAGATTGATCTAGGTCTGTAGGTTACTACTCACATTTTCTAGAGAATATAGACGACTTCAAGTTGAAATCGCCACCGCTTAGACTCCAAGATCCCACCGCAATCATGACCCTCTAATGTTACGCTTCTACAACTCGAAACGAAATATCAAACTTGAAATTTAAAGCTCGAAAAACATCCAGAACGTTGGAGCTAACCAACGATATAGAAATAAAGAGCACCATACCCATCCGGCGGCGAAGAATTGATTGGTCTCATTTTGCAGGACAGGCCATGTCAGGTCAAAATTACATGGTCGTGACCATTTTGGTGACTACAACAGTTGACGAACGAGGTGCATAGAAAAGTAAACGTTGCAGGAAGGAGTCACGGTTTAGATTGGGGAGTCACCCGTCCCACGTCCCGCGAATCCCGTGGAATTCCCGTGGGCGCTTGGTACGTACCGCGACGGTGGCCACGGCCCACTTTGATACTCCACACCACCACGACCCCTTACCACCTGTCTGGGGTTTATGCGGCCCATTCACCTTCCACAACTGCTGATCGTTGTTCGCGATGTTTGACCCTTTTCCCCATAGAGGCCGGACGACAAAAGGGCAAAAGTGTGGTTCTATTGCTAAGTTGGGTAGTGTGCTACCCGGTATGTGTTACAAGTACGCATATCAGCGGCATTCCAGGTATTGTCGGAAGATGGCAGTAGAATTATCCGAAACAGCAAGCGACTTTCGAGTAGAAACATCTACAGTATTTTAGTTCATTTCCTTCCACCACTCCGACCTCTCGGCTATTGACTCGGAACTAGGAGAATAGCCCTACCCGTAGGTTCTTCAAAATCTTCTTGGCTCGAACATTCCATCAAATCTTGGCTACTGTGTCTCTGATTCGGGAACGGCTGGAACATGCTCGCATTCTTTTGCACCCTGACTCGGATCTCGGAACAGGGTGGCGTCAGTGCACGGCAGCGTGCCGATGTCTAGCATCTACCGTACATGCACAGAAAAACAATTCGCGCTTTCGGAAACTAAGCTTCTGTAAACGACACAGATCATCACTTGACCACCACATGAGAGTCTGATGAGACCCTTGAGGTCGGACTCACAGGCGGGACAAGTCGACTCACATTAGACAACTCTGTTGTCCACTGCGCAGAATCCCCTTTAGAACATCGCTCTTACCACCCCAACGCCACATTTTTGGAATACTGTATTGCAAGCGTCGTATTTCTATTGTCCTTTGCCTGGATGTCCGAGCAACAATCATCTGAACGACATGGAGTGAAAGCGAAGACAGGAAATCAACACTAGTATGTCAACGTCTGCAAATAATTGTAATTGCTCGGTCTCACATAGTTCTATGAGCACAAGACTTAAGTTTTGATCGAATTTGATCGATCGATTCAGTTATGGCCGATTCAGGACACCACTTCGGCGATAGGCGATATGGACGCAGCTAAAGGGGGAAACGTCTATGCCTACCTCCGAAGTTCATGGTAGTCGCATGGAAATTTGCTTCTTTGTTTGGAGCTGAACCTACCTTATTTTCTGCTACATTAGGCGCGCTCCATGTTTGTCGAATGGCAAATCTAGCTGGAGTATCGTGCGCGTAAGCTCACTCATGAGCTCACCCATCGTGGCCTGTGCCGGTCGGCTTCTGTCCATCTAAGATAAGTATCTGGCCATA